ATAATAAGATGGAACTTTGGAAACAAATCAGCTTCTACAAATACTTTGGAAACAAATCAGCTTCTACAAATACTTTGAGAGAAGGAATTGGACAAAATATTTTTATTCTGGTAGAAGTCAATTAACGCATTTTTGGAGGAACTTTTTTGTTAATGCTGAAAGTTTTTTGTGCAATACTCATGTGGAGGTGGGGAATGGAAATCAAACTTTATTTTGGCTGGACAAGTGGGTAGGTGCATATACTCTGGCTTCTGTATTTCCTTCTCTTTTTAATATCACCTCTTTTCCTTTTGCTCCTATCAGTAGTATAAGAAAGAAGGTGAATGATGAATGGACTTGGGATGTTCAGTTTCGAAGGCAATTGACTGAAAATTTGGTATTCCAATATTTCACTATATTGAATGTTATTATGCTTATTAATTTTGAACACAAGAAGGATAAGAGAAAATGGATTTGGGAAGCAAAAGGTAAGTTCACAGTTAAATCATTTTATCAATTTCTTATTGATGGGGGTTTAAGATTTGATTGTGCAAATCTTTGGAAGCTTTTTGTTCCTTTAAAGGTGAAATTTCTTGTTTGGTTGGCTTTAAGGCATGGGTTAAATACTAAAGATAACCTAGATAGGAAGGGAGTTCATCTGGACTTGATGTGTTGTTTATGTTCTAAAGAAGAGGAAAGTCATTTACATTTATTTGTGGAATGTGAGTTTGTATACTCAATATGGAGATCTATTCAATATAAATTGAAAATAGAAAAAGAGTTTAGTTTGAACTCTTTAAAAGAAATTTGGATTAATTGGGTTATGGATGAGAATGATAATTGCAAATTGCAAAGAGATGTGGTTATTTTCTCTCTTATCTGGTGTATATGGCAGGAACGTAACGATAGAATTTTTTCAAATAAGAGGAAGAGATCACTTGAGCTATTGGGCAAGATTATGACATTTTGGAATTTTTGGTTAGGTGCAAATATTATTTCTGCTCGTGCTACTAGGTTGCAAGAGAGAAGGAGAGAGAGGGCTACAGGAGGAGGTGTTCGAGCTACTGTTGCTGTTGGGAGTTTTGCAAAGTGATTTTCTGGAATGATCTTTAATTTTAGAAACTTAAAGATGTTTTTTTTTTTGAGTTGTAAAACTTTGTATGACTGTGACTGGTTCTACTATTTTGTGTTGATAGTAGATGATAGTTTGTGCTCCTTTCTGGGAAAGGGTAAAGCACTATTAAGGAGTAGGAGTTATTTTGTTTTGTAAATCATGTTTGAACTTGTATACACATTCTTGGTTGGGAATGTGTATCATTATGTAACAACCAGGTTTTGGTTAATTTAGCTGGCTGGATTACTGTTATGGTAATCCATCTTTTTTCTCAAAAATAATTTTTGTATAAACTCTCACCCCCTCCCCCACCCCAACAAACATAAAGTTTTACAAATTGCAAATAACCACCCGAAAATTTGGAAAACCCCTTAAAAAGTTTCCTACATTTCGTACAAATCTTAAAAAATTGCAGAATTCCCTAAAGAAAATGAAGAAGAGGGAAGTGGTTGAGGTCAGGCGTAAAATGGGGAAATTTTTTGTTTTGAAACCAATGATGAGTTGGAAAGGGGTATTCATAGTCTTTATCATTTCAAAAAGTGTCTATTTTAAAATTTTGCCCAATGAAATTGAGGCATAAAAGCAATTTTGCCTTTCTATTTCAACTTTAAATTAAGAGGTATATTTGACACATATTTTTGCGGATAAATATTTAAAATAGACCATTTTTGAAATTTATTTTTAAAAATCGACCCGTTTGAGATTTATTTAGCATTTTCGACTTAGTTTCAGCCACCTCGTTGAAACTGGATCAAAAATGCTAAGGCTCCGTTTGGATACCATGGTATTTTACTTGTTTCCATGGTATTTTATTCAAAAACAAAACACCATGTGTTTGGAAATCATGATGTTTTTTGAGCTAAATCATCCTCAAACCAAAAACACAATACTTATTTCGAAACACCGTTTAGGTCTTTTACGCTGGTGTTTTGGTTTTGAGTTTAAGAATGTGTTAATATAATATTTAACATAATATATTAAATGTAATTAATATATAGTTATTATCAACATGCTTATTATACTATACTATATTATAATTAATCTAATATATTAGTAATATTTATTAAAAAATATAAAAATATAATAAATAAAATATCTTATATAATAATATAATAACATATTCAATGTTAGTATGTAATATGTTAATAACGTATTATATAATAATAAATAATAATAAAATATAAATAAACTAATAAAAATAAATAAAAAAGTTATTGATAATAAATAATAACATAATAATGATATAATAATATACTATACAATAGTATAATCACTATAATATTATTATATTTTTACTTTTAATAAATAAATTATATAAATTAATAATTATAAAATATTATGTAATAGTAACATATTTAATAATAACATAACAATATAATAATATTATTATAATAACATATTGTATAGTAAATAAAATATAATATATATAATATAATATTAAAATATTATGTAATAAATAATATAATTTATTATAAAGTAAAATAAGTTTTAATAATATAATAATTTATTGCTAACAAATGTTAATGTAAAAATAATATATTCATAATATAATAATATTTATTATAACTTATTAAATTATAATATAATATTCTAATACATTATACAATATTACATTGCATTATATTTAATACTTATAATACTATAATAATGTAAACTAAATATTATAACATTTTATTTATAATATATTTTATTATAATTAATATATAATATATTAATAATATGTTTAATGCTAATGCTGTAATGGGTCAAATCAGTATTGACAAAAAATAATTAACATGATGTTTTGCAAACATTGTAAGAAAAAATACAACACCATGATGTTTTTTTTTACAAAAACACTACAAGGAAAACACAATTACATCCAAACGAAGCCTAAATAAGTTTCTAAAACTTCACGGGATTTAGGATCCGTGAAGTTTAGTCCCTAATTACTCGCACTAATCAAAATAGCATCAAACTTCACGATCAAACTTCACGAGATTTCAAATCCCGTGAAGTTTGGCTGACTAGTTTCTTCTTGTCAAATTAATTAAAGCACAAGCATTTTTATTCATTGGACCACTAACTACATATCTTGTATGTACACTTTATTGAAGGAGAGCAGAAAGGTTCTCTGACCCCTAGCACGACCAAGGGCTTTATTGACTCTTGTGCATGTAACTCCAGGGACTAGGACATGAGAAGCTGTTCTTAATATTAAAAAGGTAAAGAGGAGAAGCAAAATATAACAAAGTTAGTAGGGGTGAGCATCGGTCGGTTCGGTTCGGTTTTTACCAAAATTTGAACAACCGAACCGAGCCGCCTACAATTCAAAACCGAACCGAACCGTTGCAAGTCGGTTCGGTGCGGTTCGGTTCGGTTTGTTCGGTTCTAACTTCATCAAGTATATGGTGTATACAGCTTGGACCAATGTAATTTAGAGGTGCAAACATATGTCTGAATCATTTTAGATAATAACAAACAGATCAAGTTTCAATCACTCACAAGTCTAAGCGCATACTAAATTGCAATTACTGGAGTTTCAATCAACATAAAGTTTAAACTGATCAAGTTTCAGACAAGTTAGTGCTTAATATTTCAGATCAAGTTGCATTTACTGGAGTTTTAATCAACACAGTTACACAAAGTCTGAACGAATTGAAGTAAGTCACTGAAGACTGAAGTACTGGACCAATCATCCGTATTAGGTCTCATTGAAATAGCATCCAAGTAAACAGATCAAGTTTAAATCAACACAAAGCTAATCACTGTAGAGGATAACTTGACATAGAAAATTGAGGCAATGCTCACACATACGCTAACTATCTAACTACTGGAGCAAAAATAGAACAAGCAATCTAATCCTTACATGCGCTGAGCAATCCACTGGAATATTAAGTGTGTCCCTTCAACAAGTGTAAAATCTGCAAAAATAAGAATTGTACGAATTTATAAATCGTGGTCAAACATATAGAAGTTAGAACTAAAAAAAGATTAATTCAAAAGAAAAAAAAAGGCATCATCTTTCACGCACGCAGATAGAGAGCGGGTAATTAGAAAAATGGTGTCTGGTTAGACTGGTTTAGTACTCAAAATGAAGAAAATAGAAATCTACTTGTCTCACACTGTCACACAGAAGATTAAACATGAAGAAAATAGAAAACTACAGATAAAATTACTACAGATAAAAGAAATTAAGACGGATGTTTGTGGAAAAATTTGTAGTAAAAGAAATAAAGGAAAATTGATTTGTATTCCTTTAATCTCAGTTACAATTGGATTTCCTGATGGATGGTCGGAGCCAAGGTTGGAGGCGGCGGCGACTGGATCTGAGGTTGGAGAAGAGGAGAGTTAGGTTTAGGGCTGGTGGAGTTTGGGATTTTATAGTAAGTGAAGAACGCCTTCGACGGGTTATTAAATGGGTATGGGTTATGGGCGGTCGGTTCGGGTTGAAAAATTTTCAACCCGACCCGAACCGGCTGAGTGTTAAAACCGAACCGAACCGCTGATTTTCGGTCAGTTCGGTCGGTTTTTTCGGTTTGGACCGAACCGTGCTCACCCCTAAAAGTTAGTGCCTTAAAAAGCTGCAGCCAAATTTTCATGAGATTTGAAATCCTGTGAAGTTTGATGTTATTTTAATTAGGACGAGTAATTAGGGACTAAACTTTACGGGATTCTAAATCCCGTGAAGTTTTAAAAACTTATTTAGCCTTTTCGACTCAGTTTCAGCCAGGTAGCTGAATCTAGCTAAATAAATCTCAAATGAGTCCGTTTTTAAAAATAAATCTCAAAAAAATGTCTATTTTGAAAATTTATACTATTTTTGCGGAGAAATTTTCGTCCGTATTCAAAATTTGACCTCGATCCGGAAACATCAAACACAGTGTCTCGACTATCGCGCTCTACTGTTTTCCTTTCGAAACGTAATAGCGAAGCTCGATTTTATTTTATTTTTAACGCCAAGAAATTACAACATGGTAACAATTTACCGGACGCCGAGGCTTCCTCTTTCATCTCTAGAGCCCTACTCTCATACTTCCTCTCTGAAACCTAAACCTAGCGGATCTCTACTCTAATGGAGTTCAGATACCGAGCTGGAGACGCGAGGAACTACTCCTCCACTACTGGCTACTTCGCTGAGCAGGCTCTTCGAGGTACCAAGCAAAAACCCTAATTTTAGAACTCTTTTTCCCTTCAAAGTTTGATTTGGTTCCTGATCTCAGCCGGAATCGGCACCGGGAGCTCCGGCTTCGCCCCGCCGGTGATGACGTCAAGAGCGGAAACCCTGATGGAGGAGCTCCGGCGGGAGCGGATGAGAGAGGAGATCCTTGCGAGAGAGATCGCTCACAATAGAATGATGGAGGAGGAGATCAGGAGGGAATTGGAGTTCGAGAGGCAAATGGCGATGAGAAGATTTGGAGAAGAGGAGAGATTGTTGCCGTTTGGGATTGAGTCTAGGGTTGGCATCGGAATGGGAGAGAGATTAGGGCCTGGATTTATGCCGGAGAGGGAGAGATCGCTGTCTCGTGGGAGGGAGAAGGTTCGAGATTGGGATGTTTGGGAGTTTGAGAGGCCACCTGTACCGAGGAAATCCGAGGTTGGAAAGGCGAAGCTCACGGAGCTTCTTTCGAAGACAGGAAGCTCGAGCTCAAGGAATGTGAGTAGTTTGCTCTTATGCTTGCTTTAGGTATTTGGTGTGTGGTTACATTGTTACTTTTTACATGCCTTGTTATGCTAGTTTATTGGATAGATCCTTTTTTGGAGTTTCGAGTTATGGGCATCTAATTAAGTAGTAACAATGTCCTTGAGAACTCAATATGACTGGAAGAAGGTTTGTAAAGGAACTTGACTTTGAGGAATCCTTCTAGGTTTGTGGGATATTTTTCAAGTGAGAGGTGTCTATCTATTTTTATTTATTTTTTGAGATAAAATGAAGGTTACAGAAAGCGCTAGGTGACCTAAGCACCGGACCCGGCGCCTAGAGCCTGGGAGCCTAGGCCGGAGCCTGGGCCAAGGTGTAGGTGGTTTTCCTTTTTTTTTAGTTACATTAATTGGTAATAAATGCTAATGTTTTAGAAAGCGCTAGGCGCTGGACTATAGCGTAGTGTCTACACACCTAGGTTGATTTATTTTTTTGTTTAACTTGGTGGAGGAGGTTTTCTAAAAGTCGTCGGAGATGGAGAGGTGCTCATAGTTAGTAGAGTAGGCTGGAGGCCGGAAACTTCAGAGGACGTGGAGGCTGCAACAACAGAGATCTAAGTAAGACCTAAGTGGTACGGTCCACGTAAGCGGCCTACGCGCCCCTTGGTGCTGCCAAGACATTTGCGGGTGCGTAGGTTAGCTAGGTGTCTGCTTTTTAAAGCATTGGGTGAGGCAGACACTTTCCTATATTTTGTTACATAAGAGATTAGCGAAAAATTCTTAGAAGCAAAGCTTACATTCTTATGATGAGAATGGGTATATTATGGATTTGACTCAGCCATGATAACAATTGAGGGGGGAGGGGGCAGGTTAAATGAAAAGCTAAATGCCAAAATCGCAGGAAACAAATAGCAATATCAACTATTGTTGAATCTAAAGATATTGGACTTGGTGAATGCTCTTTGCAGTTTGCATCAGCACCTTTCAAAATCAATTGCAGCTTTTACTCCACATATATCATGGTAATGTGCCAACAACTAATGAATTTATCTCAGTCTAGCTCCTTAGCATGCCTTGACTATTTGTGGTGTCACTCTAAAACAAGACCATTCCTTATTTCCCTAGTTGACGAGGTAGTGATCCAGCTGTTGATAAATTTATATTGATTAAGTTCCTAAGACTAACTTGTATTGCTTGAATCAGACTAAATTACAATCGCTCGTTCATGTAGTTGAGAGGATAATACCCCAATAGTCATCATTAAGTCTATTACAGCCTACATTCAACCCATGTTGGCCATTGCTAGCAACAAAATTGTTCCATATGCTCACAACTACCGTTGATGCTGCCATTTCATCTTTGGACCATCGTTTTCATCACTTCCAAGTCATAGCTATGCAAATACTGTATGTTTCCAAGGGAATTTTCAAAACATATCCAAAGCTAGAAGATTAAATGGTAATAAATTTGAGACTGATGCACAGTGGGTTGTTGACCTTTGGTTAGCATTTTCATTTTAGGATATTGATCCAAAAGACGATCTATTAAGTGTTTGGGATGTGGCCCAAGTCTATATTGTACTTAAGGGCTGTCTACCATATATTTTATTGTTCCTAACCATGTCAGATTTGGTTGAGTTAATTAGGATATTTGAGAAAATATATGCTTGACTACTTATTCATTATCTTGATGTTCATGTTTGTGTCGTGGTTCTGGAGTCATATATAATCACATGTGGAGTCAGATATAATCACGTGTAAACTAGGTTACCTGTTGCACCGATGGCTATGAAAACTAACTGGTAGGGGGTTTATGATAACCAAAGTTGCAAGTGCACAACTATCAAGTTATATTATAAAAGATTGTCGAATCCCACGTGGAAGGTGTTGTAAAAATTAATCAAAATTGGTTTTCTAGGTTGTGTGTGACAATTTAGGAGTGATGAAAGAATGTGGTTGTTGAGAGATAAAAGAGAGTGGATGTGATAATATGTAAATAAAAATAAAACTAGATTGAGAGGGGAGAAAGAAAGATGAAGAAAATAAAGGAAAATGAAACCAAGAAAAAAATAAGAGAAATCAAGAATAAAGAGAAAAATCAAAAAAGTAAAATATGGAGGATTCAATTAGAGATATGAGGAATTTAGAATTGAATCCACTGGCCAATTTCACTTATAGATTATGAACTATTCTCTTTTTATCACATTTTATTTTAGATTTACTAAGCATAGACTATCAAATCACTTAAGGAAACTATAACCTACCAAATTATCATCTAAGTAAAATTAGTATTCATGAAAAGAACAATAACTAGATATTAATTCTAGAATTCATAAACATAACCTAGCAAACCACTCAAGATAAGCATAAATTATCAAATTCTTCTTTTACAAATTAGTTCTCTAGTTGATTTTGCCAAGCATGATCATTTTAGGCACAAGTGAATAATTCACAAATAATAAAATAAATCAAACTAGTTTCATACAATTCTAGAATTCCTACAAGAATTAGTTTTCCATCTTAGAAAATAAAGAAATAAAATCTATAATAGGAAGAATAAAAGGAAGAGAATGGAAATAAAAACTAATTCCTAAGAGGGTTTGTAGGCGTTAAAAATTGCCCACGAATTCCCGCACGCGGCTTGAGATAGAGGAAGACGATGAACGTCATTATCCGTGTCACATAAGCTTAATTGATGTCGACAAGCGTATGGAGTGAGTTAACGAACCATGCAATGCAACGGAACTTCGGAATAACGGAAACACGAATGCATCGGGAGCTACGCGTCGCTTATGAAAGACGAAGCGCCCCTTGTGTCCCGTTTACTCTACATATGATTCAATCATGGAAGCTTGTAGATCTCTTCGTCGACTTTTTGACGTATTTTAAATCGCGTGATTCCGAGTTCGGATGATGAAGATACGACGAAAATGGACAGAACGCGCGGAACAGTGCTCCAGGCCTCAGCGAGACACCCATAAGTGTCTCGGCCAAAGTTTAGCCGAGACACCCATAGGTGTCTCGGTCAAAGCTTGGCCGAGACACCAAGAGGTGTCTTGGCCAAGGCTTGGCTAAGACACCCATAGGTGTCTCGGACCTTGTAGAGTTGTTTTGACTGTGATCCGTTTTGAATCTGAAGAAGCTCAAAAGATGAAAGTTATAGAGCTCATTGTTATCTTTCTAACGCATTTTGGATCAACTCATTCCGAGATCGTATGAGAGAGATAAAGCCAAAATACCAAATATAGTATAAACTGCCTCAGAATTCCGAGACAGTGTTGGTGTCTAGGAGAAGAATGGAGATTTTGGCCATGATTCGATTCGAATATGAAAAAGCTCAAAAGATAAAAATTGTAGATATCTTCATCAGCTTTCCAACTCATCTTGAATCATATTATTTGGAGGTCATATGAGGAAGTTAGAACCAAAATGTCAGAGACACCCAGAGGTGTCTCGGCCTGGCCGAGACACCCACGGGTGTCCTCAGCCCCGAAAACCAATTTTTAACAGTTTTAAGATGTTTTTCGACGTTAACCACCTGGATTTTGTTCCACTAATTTGAATCTATCCAAGAACGTGATAAAGTGGTTACAACTGAAGATAAGAGTGAATCGATTGTTCTTATCCGAAAACAGAGGTCCTAAAGTCTATAAATACAGCCTCAGGACCTTCATTTTTTGAGATCTGGAATTCTCGAGCGTTGGCGAAGCCTTGCTGGATTGAAGACTGAAGGAAGCCACAAATTTTAGAGAAGATCTGGAATTCTTGAGCGTCGGCGAAGCCCTGCTGAATTGAAGACTGAAGGAGCACGAATTTCAGAAGAGAGGAGATCGGATCGAGTTCGTCAGCATAAAGAAGAGGAGCTCGTCAGATCTACAGTTCCCGGTTCCTTTCCTTAAGATTGTCCCGTTACGGTGATATTGAGAAGAGTGATTATCTCGCTGTTGCCGAGATAATTGCTTCGATGTCTTGATTCTTTCGCGAATCAACGAAGCTCCGAATCTGATCTGATCGTTTGGTGGTCCACGGATATTAACGTTCCCGTCACAAGCCAAGATCCCACGCAAGTAGCGGAAGATAAACATCTGTTACGTTTGTTTAAAAGGCGATCTGAATACCCAAGAAGGCGATCTCCCCGCTACCGCTGTCGCAATTGCACCTCGCAACGATTCGTCGGTGTCCGATGAAGCCAAAGCCGCAGATCCGGACACCTTATCAAAGAGGGCTCGTCAGAGGCGCCACCAACGTCTCGTCCGCCAATTGGCTAAGGCTTTAGAGCAAGTGGATGGACTCCGTTACCAAGCAGATCTAGAGTTCTGAAAGCGCCAAGTGGCTAAGCCGTCGCCACAACAAGCATCAGGGTCCTCCCAATCGTCAACTAACAAATGAGTTTGTGTCAAACGAACCCGTTCTACTCTCAATGAGCGTATCTAGAAATGTCGCGCACTACTTGCGCACGCACGGATTCTCGCACAAGAAACACATAAATTACAGCAGGAGGTGGTGGTCAAGAAACCACCATGATCTAAGCAGGTTTGGGTGCTGAAGACCAAAACAACACCTCTACCTGACAAGAGACACCAGTCGTGTCTCTCGTTCGATTCCAGATCCGAGGCTGTTCCCCAGCCTTCGTCAACTTCAGATCCCGCTCCTATTGCTCTCGCACCTCTGGTAAAGTCCTACGACAACGTGGATCTCTTCAAATCCAGAATTCCGTTGAAGGATCGCCTGGATCCTCTACATGAAGATCGAAACAGATTTGTGGTCAAAGAACGCTTGAGCATGGTGAATGAACCCCGAGCAACTCATCGAGCTAGGGGTCGTACTCGCCCTTGCAACAAGTCTGAGCCTTCTCGTAAGGAGAAAACTCCTATAACTGACCGCCTCGGACTACGTGTCGAAGTTCAAGAGCTCGTTGAGATCCCACGCTCACGAAGGCATAGCTCAAAACGTGCGACTCTTGAGAGTGCCAACAAGGCGACGAATCCTCAGAAGGAAACGTGTTCGTCAGACGGTG